GGGTGGGACTGCGGGTTGGGGGGGGGGGGGGGCGCACATCTACTCGGACACTATAAGAAGCAAGCGTGGACACGGCCAGCTGACGCACAACCTATAGCCACACAATGTACTTGCAGCTACGATCGAATCGTGATCGAATGTTGGTAAGCCACCCGTAGTTCCGGCCCCGAGGACTTCCGTGCCGGGGCCCGGAGAAATATGGATTCACCGCCCGAGTCTCGAGGCAGCAGCAGTCAGCATGCGTGGGCAGCCGCGCAGAGAGCTGTCACCACTAAAGATGACGATCGAAGATATTATGCCGAGGGTGCAGCGGCGAAATGTGCGCGTCAACATGCCCCACCTTGCATATGCTGTGAAGTCGGGTCTAAAGGTGACCCAGCACGTGATGGTAGGTGGAGGTGTCGCGTGGCTCAGAAGCTGGCACGTGACCTTACTTGCTCGATTTCGCCCGTATAGCATTCAAGATTTTTATTCAAGATTACAGCTGACCCCTGCTGCTGCCTGGACAGCTAAGCAGGGTGCATGCAGCTGCAAGCTAAGCAGGCACATGGATGCACGTGACTCGATCACGACTTCACAATAAGCTCGACTCTTGCAGCATGGGTGTTGGTCAATGCGTGATCCTTGATGTCGTGTGCCCACCTTCTTCCACCCACCTTGTTCTCCAGCCGCCTTTCGCTGGATCCTGATCTCGGTGACAATCACCTACGCATCCACCGCAGCTGACATCCAGCTAGACTTGGCTCTGATCTTGACTCACGTCATGCCTGTAAGTAGCCATGCTGCTCGCGTATACCAGAGCTTCCGCCCATATCTTCGACACTTAACTTTTGCACGTCTTGCCACGTCCATCTGATCACGCAGAAGCTCGCTTTGCAAATCCGAGCCCAGCTCAGCGGCGTAAAGGAGCTAAGGCCTTCGACGGACGACGCTCAGCTCGTGACAACGGTGAAATGCACGAGCTGCCAAGAGGAACATGCTAAGCCTGTCTCTTTCAACGTGACGGGTGAGGTGGAGGTGCAGGGTGGTAGAGGCGTCGCCAACTTTGTGATGCATTGCAGCGTGAGTCTGGTCGCCTCACTCGGTGCGGATGTGGGCTAGTCACAGTGATGAAACAGCTGCCCAGCAAGCTACATCGCGCCGCGCTCACACCCTCCCCTCCCTTCTCCTGCCCTCGCATCGTCCCACACGCAGTTTTGCAAAAATCAAGGATCGGCCAGTGAGCACTTTCGTATCATGTCAGAGCAAGATGTACCTGTAAAGACCCGCTCATGTCGACCATCCGCTTCTTCTCTCGCCTGCCAGAGTTTGACACGCCCACTTCCAAGGTGCCCCTATGGCAGCCCTACACCGGTCCAGACTATGCGCGTTTGACAACTCTAGAATTCAGAGGATTGGAACCCGTCAGCTTCCAAGCGGATCAGATGACCTGGAGATGTGCGGGCGAAGAGAGCGGCACCAAATTTGACGACATCGCTCTGGAGGATGGGGAGTGGACGGATTACGATGAGAAGACGAACAATGAGACGAGCATCATGGAAGTTGAAAGCAAATGGGTCAGGGCGTAAATTCGAAAAATTCCAAGCTGGACGTTCAATTTGCGCGTGCACTCAAATTCCTGCCGAGAGGCGGAAACGGAGGTTTTGGCATGAGTTGCGCCAACGCTCAGTCGCCGAGTGTCGATTCGACATCCATGTTCATTGCATCCTGGTCCACCGATGAGCTGTCAGGCGAGCGAAGTGACCAGCTGCCGGATGTCCCACGCGCTCTAACTGCGGGCGACATACACAATGATGGCCCACCTGCCATTGACGCGCCATTTCGCTGCGCATTCATGCCGTCAAGGAAGGACGATCGGCCAGAGCAGTGGTGCGAGTCATCAGGATGGAGAGAAGACGTTCTTGTCAGCTCTGCGCGCAGGGAGAATCCAGCTGCGCGTGGCACTCACGATCCTCCCTCTGCACAGCTTCGAATCTCTCCTGGCTCAAGCCTGCACAGACGTCCGCTTTGCACGTGCGCAAGACAAGCGTATCGAACCGTCCGGCCAGCGGTCCCATTGCTTGGTCAAACGGCGCAGTGTCGGGCCACCGAGCGTCCGAGAGCAATTTACGAGTATTCAAGTCTCCCTGATAGACGGCAAATAGAAATGAGAAGGTAAGCGGCCGAGGAAGGAATGATTTAAGAATGGAATGTCCGGTGGTGCTCTCACTTTGAAGATGACGAGGCTCGACTTCCGAAGGTCGGCGTTGAGATCTGGAGCCGCAGTTGGCAAGTCGGCATAGGACTAGGCGAGCACGCAGGTCGGAAGCCTGATGAACAGAATACCTGATGTGCTTGAGGTTCCTTGCACTCACATGGAAAGATGTCCAGAAATCACCCAGTGGGCCTGCTGCTTGCCCCAGCTTGCCATCGAAAGCAAGTCGGAAGCGTCCCTCCGATAAGTGCTTGCTCCATCGAGCTGCAAGTCTCTGAATGGCCGTGGAACCACTTGCAGTGTGCGCAGCGGAAACGCGTTTAGTGACCGCTGATGTATCGATGACGTACGACTGCGAGGGCTGGACGGATGCGCCTTGAGCGCTACGTATTGCAGCGCAAGTCAGCGTTCGGCTGGTGAGACTCTGGCATGTTGGAGGGGCTCGCTGCTCACTTAAGAAAGTAGCTCGCGTCGAGTTCTGCTTTCGCAGTCGCGCTCTCTGCTGCTTTCTTGCCGCCGTCGCTCTGTCCGACTGAGACATCCGTAAAGAAGTCGGAAGATTGGAGCGCTGCGAGGGTGTAATGGAAGTCGGCCGGCGTCACATCGCTTACGAACCAAGGGAGCACCTGCAGGTCGAAAAGGAGAAGCGCTTATGAGGGTGAGGACACATGCCAACAACCATTACATTTCCCTTCTCTCATCTCACCTTGGGATGAAAGACGACTTCCTTGACGTGCCCTGTTGCAAGCAGCCAATCGGCAAAGAGCAGATCCGTAGTGACCTCGAAGCCAGCATTATCTAACACAAAATCCACCCTTCCATCCTTCGCCGCGCTGACCTTTGCCCACGCCTGGTCCAAGCCGCCGAGACCGGTCAGGATGTACTTGGCTCGCTCGGCCTGGGCCGAGGTGCTCAGTCCACCTGCTTGCAGATCTTGAATGTCAGCGTGCGAGAGAGAAGTGAGCAAGGAAAGGTCGGTCTAGCGATTGAGAAGGTGGGAAAGGTCGTGAGCACTTTGCGAACGCTGTGCAGCCTGTTGTTAGGAGGACACGCTTACAGCATTGCCCCACAGCGAAGATTGCGCCAGCAAGTAGAAGATGAGCTTTGGTGCAGATTTGTCAGCCGCATTGCACGTCAGTCGTGAAGTAGGATGGTCATCATCTTGACAGTCCCAACTCACCTTCTGCCCTTCACCACCTTCAGCAGCAGCCTTGCTCGGGTTGGACGTCTGAGCGCTCTCTGCTTTGCGTACGAGTTCCTCCACGGTCTTTGCCAGCTCGTTGATCGCTTTGCCGCTGCTTCTAAAAGCCGAGATCTTTTGCGCGGCAAAGGGGTCGTAGCTGAGGAAGGAAGGCCAGCGGGCAAGGCGGGAAGCGCATGTCAGGTCAGCAACAGCAATGAGAGATTTAAAAGCCAGAGGCGCGAGTCTCCGCAGCCACCGCCGTACGTACTACTTCCAGTGTTGACTCGTAGCGAAAAAGGATCGAATGAGGCGGTACAGGTAGCACTCGGCAAACAGCCCTGCTCAACGCAACAGTGAGCTTCAGCCAATGTCATCGATCGCGCTATAAGATCAAGGCAGCGCTTACACGGCGCATTGAACCAGGTCCAGCCCTTCTGCTTGACCACCTCGTCGAATTCTGCAGTGCCCGACTCATCGCTTTCGCTCAAACCAATCGCTTCGAGCGGCCTATCTCTTCCCATGTCATGTTTCAGCTTGCTCAGCTTCTCGATGATGACTTTGCTCTCTTCCATCTTGCCCGTCACATTTTCACCATCGTCCTGGTAAGAGAGGGCATGCGCGGCATTGACCAGGCCGCTGATTGTCCCAGCCAAGATCTCGGGCCATCGTTTGGAGGTGGACTCGTAGGCGAAAGACGACTTGTCCGTCGCGGACCACAGAGGTACGGGTGGATCCCAGTGCGAGAATGTCATCTTGGCTAGATGCTGAGTGAGGACATCGACTGAAATGCGAGCGTCGAGTGTCGAGTGTCGCTCATGCAGAGGAAAATACTGGATGAAGATCCGCGGTGCTGCGAACGAAGGAAGCAGGAAGAGTTGCACATTTTGATTCACAATTCGTCTGCGAGTCAAAGTATCAGTGAGTTGCGGAAAAATCCCCAACGGTTACGGGCGTGTGGCCCGTGCGGTATAGCTACGTTAGGTACACGTAAAACTCGACATTGATTCAAGATTAAGAATCGAGCGTGAAATCAACGAACCACGAATTTTGACTCTGGATCTTTTGATTTCAGTCCGACCTTGCATTCAGAATACAAACTTGAGTCAAAAGTTGCTGTAAGCCAAGCTCCAATCCTTCAAAGGAAATACACAACCTTGAACCTTCAACCCGAACTCGGATTGAGGGATCAAGAATCTTACACTCGTAAGCCAGAGCGTCTAATCTGACTGTCGGATGGGCACTTGTATTCGTGATTTAAATTACAGATGCAACAAGATCAACCGCGACGCGCGCAGAGTCGCGCGCTGTATATAGAGCTGCTGTTGCATGACAGGTTCAGATCACCTACCTGCGAATTAAGTGGTCTCGGCTGATGATGACGAGACGTAGCAGCAGACACACATGATGTTGATCTTGATATGACACCAGCTGCTGTCCTTCACTCGTCTAAGCCGCGTTCCTGATTCAGATTCACGATTGACGTTGATGGGCTGGCTGAGACACATCACAAAGCAGCGATCGTGAAATATAGAGCAACCACTCGACCACAGCAGCAGCAGCCTTATCCATCCCACCATCCCTGTCTCCAAACCCGAGTCGCAACGTATCTGCATCTTTTGGCATTGTGATTCGCAGCTACATTTATTAGGGCGGACAAAAGGGCATGCTGCTGCGGCGCAACAAGATCATGACACCTTGAGACCCAACTTGCTACCACAGTCCCAGCATACACATACCGACAAGGAGCCCCGCGGCTTCCTAACCCCATGGACACAGCCTTTAGCTGCTCGAGTCCTTAGATCATCAGCTCCGCGGTTCTGCTCGTGCCTCATTGCGCACTAGAGAGCCGACGCATATAGCCATCACGGCGAGCACGCTCGACCCTGCTGTCCAATCCTCAAATACTAGCTGATCTGCGAACCAATCATGTCTGGTCTAGGGGACACATCGGGGCCTTCGCGCAGTCGAAGCAGTACCAATACGGGTAGGACAGATGGCAGCAACAGTGCGAGCAGCTCCAACACAACGGGGGAAGATGCCATCTTTTTCAATACGCGAACAAGCAGAGGAGAGGCGAGCAGAAGCACTTTCAGCGAAGCGGGCGGCGGTGCGGATGCGGAAGGACGCTTCTCGGAAGAAACTGCGATTGCGGGCAAGAGAGCCAGTTCGGACAGGTACGCTCGGACGTTGGCCGAAGGAACGGGGCAGGAAGGCGATAAGGGGCTATTGGATGACTCGGATCGCGGGCCCTGGGGTACAATTCGCGCCAAGAGACCTCCGCGATATTCCAGTGTAGTTGATGAGGCTGCTGGTGACGATGCGGACGCCGCGGACGCTCCGATGCCCCGCTCTCATCGCAAGGGGGCGCATAGCGCTAGCAGCAGTATGAGCGGCCTTGGACGGAGCGGTAGTAGGGCGCTGAATGCGCTCGGTATGGGCGGCGTGGATGTGCAAGGCTTGAGGAGCGCCGGTCAAAGCGTGGTGGATCTGACGATTGGCAACAGCGCAGAGGCGGTCGCGAGGAGAAGAGCTTTTGGGAGAGCGGCGGTCATCAACATCTCGCTCATCGGCAGCTGGTGTGAGTGCATCTCAGAACGGAGAGGCGCGGGTCTCAGCCGATGACATTATGCGCCAAAACCACATGCCGAATGGCTGATGCTGTCAACGCCCGCCTGATAGATTTGTTTTCGACGATCATGAGCCTGTACAATTCTTGGCTCTTTTCCAAGAAGCGCTACGGCTTCTCATATCCCCTCTTCGTCACCTCCATGCACATGCTCGTGCAGTTCGCACTCTCCAGCCTGCTCTTGAGCTTGTGCACCAGCTGGGTGCCCCGCACACGATCTGGAAAGCGGGCGCGGCCAGCTGCGAGGGACTGGGCGTGAGTATGACACAGCAAGGGCTTTCGCAGACTCGGCCCTTTCGGAAAATATCCCGGAGCTGATGCGCTAAAGATCTCCTTACTCGCTTCCTCAGTACGAAGGTGGTGCCGTGCGCTTGCGCCACAGCGCTGGACATAGGGCTCTCGAATCTGAGTCTCAAGACGATCACCTTGACGTTTTACAGTGAGTCGCAAGGTTTCTTTGCCGGGCCTGCATTCAGCCGTCATCCTGACCTTTCCCGTCTCTTTGGCCACGCATCTCGATCAGCCATGTGCAAATCCTCGAATCTCGCCTTTGTGCTCATCTTCGCCTTTCTCTTCCGTCTGGAAGTGGTCAGGCTCAGCTTGATAGGCATCATCACTTTGATTACGATCGGCGTGAGTAGACAGAGTATCAAGCTTCCGTGAGCTTACCGTGCAAAAGCCCGACTGATGCCATCACCCGCGCCTGCAGGTCGTCATGATGGTAGCAGCCGAGACGCAGTTCGTGTTGGAAGGTGCGATAGAGGTGCTAACAGCGTCGGCGATGGGAGGTCTTCGGTGGGCCTTGACGCAAATCTTGCTGGATAGAGAAGGTATGGGCATGAATAATCCGGTCGCCACCATTTTTTGGCTGGCTCCCGTCATGTTCATCGCCATGATCAGCGTCAGCGCTGCGGTCGAGAACTGGGGCGAAATGTTCAGCAGCAAATTCTTTGAAGGACTTAGGAACACTGTTAGGACGCTTGCCCTCGCCATTGTTCCAGGTGCCTTCGCATTCTGCATGAATCTGAGCGAATTTGCGTGAGTGCGAGGTGCGGCAGCAGCATGATGCAAATCAGCCAAGTTGACTAACGCATTCCTCGTGCTATGGCGCAATGCGCAGACTAATCCAAAGGACATCGGTCGTGACGCTCTCAGTCGCTGGAATCTTCAAGGAGGTCTCAACTATCTTTATAAGCTCTACGGTGTTTGGGGACGAATTGACGCCCATCAACGTGACGGGTCTATGCATTGCCCTGGTCGGCATCGGACTGTACAATTGGCTCAAGTACAGGTTACTCGTATCCGGAGGCGCTAGTCATGAAGCATCTTCGCACGGGACGCGGGACGCAGGCTACGAAGCCGTTCCTAACCCTCTTCGCAATGGTCGGGTCAGGTCGGCATTGCCTGATCGAGAAGGGCAGGAAGACGAGTGGGCGGATCCGAATCTCGCTGAAGACGAGGAATCTTTGGCCATGTCGGAGAGGGAGGATGGAGCTGCTTTGAGCGAGGCCGAGCTGGACAGGAGAAGGAAGAGGGAGGAAGAGGCCGACATGGATGGCGGAGGCGTTTGGAAGACCGGCCAAGGCTTCTTCGAAGACAGCGACGAGGAGCGTTGAAGCCTAGCCCTGATCCGTTCCCCGTCCCTTGCTGTCTAGTTGCTCGAGTGCCGACCCCCTTGCAGATTTGAGCTCCATCCAACCGAACAAGCCACTTGCTGTTTTTTGCCACATTCAATCGTCACCGGTGTTCGTACCCGCTCCGCTAAATTGAAATCGAGCTTCGCTTTCGACTCCGAGTGCAGCCAAGAGGCAAGATGCTTGGTCCTTCCCGACCCAAGCGCATGCCAGTACACTCGTGCAACCATGAAAAGACAATCATGTGCTTTTCTATTGGTGAAAAGTTGGTACCTTACATCCAGCTTTTCAGGGATCAAAAAATCAATCAATCCAAAAGACTAACCCTCCGGGATGCACCAAGCCCAATTACGAGGTGTCATGCAACCGGAAGCGAAAGCCCTATGCTCAACAGTCGAAATTCCAGGTAGGAGGCTGATCCCACTGTACTAGCCGGCCCGGGCACATTATTGTGTCAGAAACGCGTCGTACATATAGTCAAAGCGTGGCGCTCTCGGACTCCGAGTGCCCCTGCCTCTCTTGTAAATATCCAAGCCTGTTCCTTCATTCGTGTATACCCTCACGACCCGCCATTTGGCTGGCTACTGATGGAGTCAAAGCACAACTAAGAACGATGCGCAAGGTTGGGCTTCATCGTAGAGTAAAATGCGCGCGGAGGACTTGAGCCCTTGCACCGCGGGGAACAAAGTTGTACAATTGGCTCATCACTGTGGGAGTGCAATGGAGCAGCTTGATGGACGTTTCGATGGTGTAGAAGCCCGAGAATTCACATACGTAACCTCTGTAACGACCGAGCACTAAAGTTGAAAGCATTGCAGTGGCGGTGCACGCGGGACCGAAAGTTGCCCCGCCATTTCAGTCCGACGAAAGCACAAAGTGTGAGATCAAGGATAGGGTATATTGCGAAGAGCAGCAGGGAACATTATCGTACAAAAAGAAAGATGACAAGCGTAGTGGTTCATCTGTCAAGCCACATAGTGTGGCCGTGATCGACGACGGTGAATTCCGGTGCCGCAGACCTGCCATTAGACGTTGCATCCTGGGCGGAGCTTGACTTCTGCAGTGCGGCGCCGTTGGCATTCCTAGAAAAGACGACACTTTGCTCTGAGCAGGCTTCTTTCAGATCTTGCATGGTAGAGTGAGCCTCTGCCTCGCCCGAAACGAAGGTACCCCAGTGGATGGCCAGTGCCAGTGGAGCTGCTCGCCTAGCCGAGGTTGCAGCAGCTCTGTTTCCAGAGCTGTTGGCAATGATGCGGCTATCCCCGTGCGCATGAACGTCGCCATCAAGGAATTCTGCGTCCGGCACATTTGGATTTTGCATCATCTTGAGCACTCTACAAGCGTCCCAGGGGCCCATGTGATTCGCGCTGGTGAGCCCTGGACTGATGTTGGGAAACAAGACCCAGCCTTGTGCCTCTGTCTGAGAATCGTCACCACGAGTCGAAGATGCCTTTGGTGACGTCCAGGAAGCTAATGGATCGTACGACTTGAGGAAAGAAAGCGTCGCGCCTACGCTGATTGGCAGAAAGAGTAGATCGGGAGAGCCCAACCGCAGAGCAATCTCAGTGAATGTCGGACAAGGAGGATACTGCATTTCTGGAGGTGATGCGCCTTTCGTGTCGAGTGTGGATGCTGACAAAGAGGAGCTTGATGAACTCGCGGACGCCTCAGACAGAGGCTCACTTTCGAGCTCTTGAAGTATCGGTTTGGACATTTTCCGCGCTCCACCCTCCGCCGTATGATCTCTTCTGCGCGCTTTGACCGCGCGTTTGCGCCTCAAGAAGCTTTCTTTTGGGCCCTCCGCGCCATGAAATTGCAATCCTGTATCACCTCCAAAGAACACTTTGTAGGATTGGTCCCCCTCCCCATCGCCAGGACCTCGCTTGGCTCGCACTGAGTCGTCGCGCTGAGCGTGCTCAACGAACCAGCTCGCCCACAAGCTGGTCCCCGCGTCCAATCCATACCTGCCCGAACCGTGTTGGGCCGGCGTGCAAGTGATCTTGACGTGATTCTCGTTCAGGCTCGAGTCATCTGTTCCAAAAGAAGCAGCTGAGCTGGGTCCAGCTGTGAGGGTGACGGAGTCCCACCAATCCAGCTCCTCTATGCGATCAGGCGGGATGCCCAGAGCTCCAGCATGTTGATCGCCCCCGTCCTTCGAAGCCGTGCCAACAAACCAATCTTTAAGACCGAGGGGCACGAAGAATCGTATGCGTCTCTTGTTGTGATGCCACAGCTCAGTGATGGTCGCCAAGTCGAGATGATCGTAGTGAGAATGAGAAATTAGCACAGCATCTATACGGGGGAGGTCTTTGACTTCACAGGGAGACGCATAAGCTCGAGCGGGGCCAAAGTACTGCGTGGGAGAACACCTGCAAAGTGGGAAGCCTGTCAGCTGTGATCCACATGTTAGGTCACTTGAGGCTGCTGCTGCGTCCTTCCATGCATTCGCTGCAACTGGTCTTTCTGAGCGTCGACTCCACTTGGAACCGCCCCTTGGCCATAGAAGCTGCGCCCACTCACCTCTCAGAGAAAATCGGATCAAAGAGCAATCTGACAGGATCTTGCTCGACGCGTGCTGTCGCTCCCTCTCTGAGATCCTCCTTTTTGCTCAAGCTTGGCATCTGCAGCAGGACCCCGGCATGGCCGAGCCAGGTAGCCCCAACGCGCTGTTCGCTCTGCTGTGCGTCGCTTGAAGCTGCACTGCCCGTCTCAGCAGCCGGTTGAGTGAAGGTTGGCTGCACCACTCGTAAGGGCACGTGGTCAGCCGTGTGGGGCTCAGGCAGCTCTCCACCGCCCCTATCCCCTCTTCCACCTTGCAGATCAGTGCTTGAAGATGATTTTGTACTCTCCGATTGACTTGGACTACCCCAGTCCAGACCTGCCCAGAGCTCCGGTAGCGTCGGTTTGTGCCACGAAGGCCAAGGATTCCGGAAGCCTATGGTGCGAGGAGCCTCCTTTTTCGGAGAGGTTGCGTTCGCAGCAGCAGCATTTTGATCGTTCTTGGAGGGAAGTCTGATCAGCTTTGAAGTGCTGTCTTGGCTATGATACTGTAGCACCGGTCCGTGCGAAGACTCCAGAGCGGCTCCAGAGGCTGGGGCTGGATTGGGTCGACCTGACCAACCAGGTAACCATCCTGTCCAATATTGCGACGGAGGGGGTGTTGGGACTACGACATGATGAGGTGGGGGCACGGCATGGGTCACTCGATTTACCGACAAGCGTAAGAGCTGCTGGGAAGGAGCTTCATGCTTGACCAAGGTGTGCAAGTCAAGTTGCGTCGATGTAGCCTCAGCAAGCGCTTCGTGTGCGCTTTCATTCACATCGACTTGCGAGCTCTTGGCTTCTTTGACAGACGAGAGAGATGCATCATGTGACATTCTCTGCCGTTTGCGCAAGATCAACGCTACGAGAAAGCGTTTACTTGCGGGAGTTCCTGCCTCCCGCTGCGGAGATCGTTGAGGGAGATCGTCGTCGATCGCCAGTGCGACTCGTGCGAGCACCGAGGTCCGCTCTTTCTTCTCAACGCAACGATCGATGAGCGCAGTGCACGGGCAGCAGCGAGGCGCCGTGACTGTGGAGGTGTTTACGATCGTCAAGGCAGGAGGAGTGGATAGCATGCAATCGCGAATGTCGAATAGCCATCGTCACTTGGATGCAAATGAAGCG